CTGTGGCGGGGTTCAGACCCAGCACCCAGGGCTCTCTCGGACCTAGGGCCCAGCTGGGGGCAAGCGAGGCGTACTCACAGGAGCCGGGCCTCCCTGAGACAGAGGCAGGGGCAGCAAGGAGGGGCAGGCAGTCGTCGTCTTGAGAGCAGCCGGCCTGGATGGCCCGGAGGTAGCTGTGGCTCCGCATGCGGAAACAGCCGGGCAGGTCCAGGGCGTCCACGGCTTGGGACTCAAGCTCCCCAAACACAGACCCGCACACAGCCTCCAGTTGCTGGCTCAGCTCCTCGCTGAGCTGGGGACAGGGGCCGAGAGGAAAGTTACCGGGGTGGAGGGGGTGGGGGTGTCTCTGAGGCACTTTGCCATAGGACTATGTCTAGATCTGCAGAGGCGGTGTCTCTGTGCGACTCTTCTACATTTGGACTAAAAGAAACCCTCATTCTCTGCAAAGAAAGATGAAGGCGCCTCTGCCCTGTGCTGCTCCCCAAAATGCCTTAAAGGCCAGACTTAGGGGTCCAGTCTTTCCTCTAAATACTCCTCCCTCCGCCCCATCTATGCCTCTCCCAGATGTGTGGCTGTACCTCAGCCTCCAGACCGCCCCATCTTCCTCTCCACCTGTGCTCTGGGTGTTGGGTTAGCCCCTCACCGTTTTTCTCACCTGACCCTGACTTGACAGGCATCCTCTTGCCCACTATGGGGGTGCAGGGCTGCAGGGAACGCTAGTTTTTATTTTATTTATGATCCACTATGTTGTAAAACTGATTGAAAGCAACTTATAGATATATACACCATGTGGCAGGACAGAAATAACAGGTAAGGGATGGAGCCAAAATTATTAACTTTCAAGTTTCCAGGACTCCCCCACCTTCTGCCCACTAACTAGGGCTCTGGTTTGGCCTACTGGTTCCTTCCCTGGCCTCCACCTCTAAGGGAAGTTCAGCCATTGTTGGATGAGGTTCTTGTTTTTATTTTTATTTTTTTAATCCTCACCTAAGGATATTTTTCCATTGATTTTTAGAGAGAGTGGAAGAGAGAGGGAAACACAGAGAGAAATATCGATGTGAGAGAAACACATTGATTGGTTGCCTCCTGCATGAGCCCCGACCAGGGCCGGGGCCGGGAAGGAGCCTGCTACTGAAGTATGTGCGTGCCCTTGACCAGAATTCAAGCCGGGGCCCTTTGGTCCACAGGCCAATGCTCTATCCACTGAGTGTTGTTCTTGCTTTATTTCTGATATTTTGTGGTGCAGAATCCATAGTGTTACAAAAAAAATTAATGCAACTAAGAAAAGAGCAAAACAAAAATTTTGTTCACAGAATCCTGTCACACAACACTGCACTAAGGCTAAATATACCACGGAGGCTGCAGCTTCGTTTGCGTTATATGAGCAAACTGGCTCAAAGGAAAAAAATAAAGGTAGGAAAAGGAAGTGGTCCAGTGGTAAGCTCTACATCCAGAGCAAAAAATGGGTGCACATTTGACCCTGAGCTTCAGAGCAGCCAAAGCATCGAGGGATACAGCCTATGGGTTGCCCACACAAGTTATGAAGTGAGACCAGCTGAACTCAAGTGCTGCCCCCCCCCCCTACTTCTTAGCAGTGTGGTTTGAGAAAGTTAAAGTTTTGGGGCCCCTGTCAAATGGAAATGCTAATGGTACCATCTTCATAGTGCTGCTTGAAGGAGTAAAAAACAAAACAAAACAAAACAAAAAAACCCTGTGAGGCACTATGTGCAGATACTGGCACACAGTCAGCACTCAGTCAGTGGCAGGCAAAGGTCTCAGGGCCTCTCTGGTAAACACAGGCCCTGGCTCATGAGAACCACAACTCTTCCTGTCATGGAGCCCAAGAGAAATTCCCCCACAAGTGATTATGTAGAGGCCCTGGAATGAAGTCATGGACAAGGGCCTCAGTAGCTTCCACATGGTGAGTGTGACAGCAAGTATCCCATGGCGGCCACCTGTGACATCGCTCAGCCTCGTGGCATCATATTTATGTGCAGTCCACAGTGGCTTGCTCCATGTGTAAAATACAGCTCAGTGTTTTTATAACTTAGCCTCAAAAGCATAAGATGCTACCACAAGATTCTACATTAAATGGAGGAGGAATTTTTCATCCCGTTCTACCAATGACCCAGAGAGGGCAGATGAATTATCTAAGGATGCCCAACTTGTATGTGGAAAAACCAGTGAAGTGCCAGGTTTCCTGGCTCTCATGCCAGGCTGACTGAACCGCAAAATCTCCCAGAGAGCTTGTTAAACTGACATGAACTCAGGCCCACACCTCAAGGATCTGGCCCCAGGGCTCTTCGACTCTATGCCTCTCTCTGCTGTGAAGCTCAGAGCCAAATTAACTGGAGATCCAAAACTCAGTGGTTCTAACGTGGGGCCATCATTTAAAAAAGGACTGTCTGGACTTCTTTTGGCAGCTTTTTCTGAAGGAACTTTATTACAAGTGTACAGGAGTCATAGGCCATGGAAAAATCAATCCAGGATCCTGGGAAATTCGCCCACATTTGACTGGCATAAGCCCCACCCCTGGGCAGCTGTGGCTTCACCATGACTCTCGTGAGTCTCCCTCTCAGTTTCCTATCTGTGGGCCTCTGGGGAACCAAGGACCAGCACTGGCAGGGTATTTCCTGAGGCTCAGGAGCTGATCTAACTCCTGCTACTTCTAGGCCAGGCTCAGGATACGCCCCCGCTAGAACCAATCCAGCCCAGAGGGTCCCTCCTGGAGCAGAGAGCAATCTGGTCTCCAGTCAGGAATCCAGTGATGGAAGAACTCTCACTCAGCAGCTTATCTCTGTACCTCCAGCCCTCTTCTGTGTGTAAAGCACTAGGCATAATAACTGACATGCAGCAGATGCTCCATGAACATCAGCTACTATTATTAGTAGCAGGAGGTTCTTAAATCGCCATGGAAATACCTCTCAGAGACCTCTCTTTCCCAGGGGTTCTGAAGCTCTTGAAATCCCAACCATATGTTATCCCCACAATGAACTCTATGGCAAGGCAGAGAGAGAAAGGGCGAGACGCTCCCTGGGGCCACACACCTCCCATCTGTACAGGCCAAGAGGAGTTTCTGGAGTTGAACAGGAGACTAGGACCCAAGGGAAATACAGAATCATATAGACTCTCAGAGGAATATTACACCTCAAGTTGTTCTTTACTGTATTACAATTATGAAATTGTAACATTAGACTTTGAATTCTCCTATGATTCCTGGACTGCCTTCCTCCCACCCTGCTCCTTAGCTCCCACTTTCAGAAGAGTCAAAGTCAAAAGAAACCTCTTGGGAAATAAGAACCTGAGCCTTTTCTCCAACCCAGATTCAGACTCAATAAATATTTCCACGGGAGTGGGATAGTTAGAAGAAAATACTTTGCCGGGACTCATTGAAAATTGTCCGTGGTAGATTGTCCAATTGGGGGCTAGGCTGTATACTTTATATATGGCGTATAGTTTAGGTAACCTTGAAAAACCCTCCCATTTCAAAACACTCTAAAACACCGGATAAAATATAACAAACGTTGCTTTATATGCATAGCTGAGCTCGCAAGAAAGCAAGATAAGTCCCCAGGGGACAAAAGCAAAGAGGAAACTGGAAATTCAGAATATTAACTGTGTGAGCCAATGCTGCAAACAGCCTAGTGGAGGTGGAAGGGGCAGGGAGGGTTGCTGGTCTCAGTAATCAAAGGGCTTAGGTTTTAGCACCCACTTGGGGGCAGCTGTAAGGCTCTGGGCCCACATGAAGCATGGAACCAAACGAGAACCTGCATAAAAGTAGGAAAAGAGAAAACCTTTGATGAAAAGTAAACTAGGGAAAAATATTATTAGCACAGACTGATGAGAAGGAAGCTAGCCCATAGTCTAGGCACTGTGGGAAAGGGAAAGGAAGCAAACCTTTTAAGAATTTGTACCTACAAGCTAATCTTCTCACAGACACAGGCTTCTGTGTCTGCATGGGCCTGCAGGGGCCAGACCCACCTAAATTAAAATTTAACATAAAATGGTCCCAGACCAAGAATTGTCTAATTGTCTAATAGACGCCCAAAATATTTTCTGGGGGAACTACTCCTAACCCAGGCTCAGGATTCTCACAGATAAAGCTCCATTAAAGATGAGCTAATTTTTATTTTTCTGAAGATGAGCTAATATTAAACTGAGAGACAGACAACCTCTGACATGGCCCCTAATGATTTCCAACTGCTGGCATTCACACCCTTATGCATCCCCTCCCAGTGAGTGTGAACTAGACTTACTGGCCCACTACTAATTAATAGAATATGGCAGATACAATTGAATGTCACTTCAAAGATTTGATTACAAAAAGATTGTGGCTTTCATGTTGGATACCTTCTCTTACTCTCTCTCAGAGCCTTTGCTCTGGGGAAAGTAAGCTGTTATGTTGTGAGTAGCCCTATGGTGAGTCCCACATGTCAAGAAACTGATGCCTCTGGCCAACAGCCTGCAAGATCTGAGGGCTGTCGACAGCAAATCTTCCTCCAGTCAAGCCTTAAATGACTGCAGCCTTGCTAACACCTTGACTGGAGCCTGTGAGACACTGACCCAGGTGGCACCCAGCTACGTTGTGCTTAGATTTCTGGCCCACAGAAGCTGTGAGATAAGAAATATTTGTTGTTCTAAGACACTGTGCTTGGGGTAACGCATTATGTAGCGATATATAACTAATACAAACTATGACACAAACAAGAACTAAACTTCCTGAGAATTCAAGGTTTACCTGTAACAGCAGCTAGTGTTACCTTAGCTCAAACAGATTAGCTTTTAAACTATGCTTAAAATTTCTAACACTTAAAAGATAAAACTGAAAATATAAGAAGAGACTAAAAGCTTTGGGAAAAAAACTATGAAGATTTAAAAAGGAACCAAATCAGATTTCTAGAAATGAAGAAAAAAAAAAGACAGTGAAATTAAAAACACAATGAATTAAACAGTAGATGAGACACAACTGAAGAAAAATTTAGTGAACCAGAAGATACCGCTGAGAAACTTACCAGATAGGAGCACAGAGGGGCAAAGAGGTGGAAAAAATGAAGGAGAGGTTAAGACACGTGGAGGAAAGAATAAGAAGTCCCACATACAACTAATAGGAGTCTCAGAGGAGAGACTGGATAGAATTTGGAAGAGGCAATACTTGAAGAGATAATAATGATGGTAGTTGAGAAATTTCTAGACTTCCAATTTCAGGCATGACAGAAAGGAGAACACCAAATCCTATCCCACATGGAAAAAACTGCCAAAAACAATTATTTCATCACTCTGAAAATCAATCAAAGAAGCATGTATCAATGAAAAGTACTGAACTTTGGGTAAGAACAGCATGAATCTGTGGTATCCTTGCCTGGAGCTGCGCCCATTACCCCCAGCTCCCAGCTCTATTAGTTGCAATAGTTCAACAAGGGTGGAGCAGGCTGTGAAAACTAGCTGTTTCAGTGCTAATGGCGAAGGGGCCTCACCTAATTGGAGCATCGTCCGTAGACTGGAGTGTCAAAAACAGAAATAGTCAGCAGCATTGGGAGGCTGAGGTTTTGGCACTGTTTGGGGCAAGCTATGGACTGGCAGACTAACCAGAAATTTAATGGGGAGTTCCAGGTGGGGGGTGAGATAGCCATAAGCAGTTTGATAAGCTCTCCACATATCCTGGGTTAACTAGAGGCTGGGTGCATGCACACCAG